CACTGATATGTGCATCTACAATTCAGCAATAACTTGCAAATGGACATTACACAATTGATGTGTGTATGGATTGGGATAACAGTTGTATGAGCCCCTAATAAAATGTTTAAAAAGAAAAAGAAAAAAAAAAGAACTAGAGTCCAGTACGGTACGTATGGGAATGAAGTAGAAAGTCCACTGTGATGTAGAACTGGGCCCCATACACGAAGTATTAGATGTTCCCTAGAAGCGAGCTAAAGAAAGCACTTTTTAAAGCATTTTAAAGGAGAAAATTTCCACCCCAAATTCACAGCGCTCTCTAGCCAGATTGAGTAAGTGCATTTGTGAGTGAAAACTGAGTGCTGCTTTCCGTTTTCTTGTTGGTCTCTCCTGGCATGTGTTTCTGCAGTTTGTAAAATAGCATGCCATTTTTCAGAATGATTCACAACCAGGGTAAATGGCTTTCTTGTTTGGAAGAGTTCAAATGCAACATAAAGCGTGCCTAAAGGCAGGGAGATAATCTGGCTAACCTTACAAGGCCCAGAGTCTGCTCCAGGTCCCCAAAGTATTTAGTGTAGATGGCTTCAGAAAAATAAGAGGCATTTTTAAATCCAAACACATATTAATCTTGGTTACTGTAAACCAATGGGGAGGGGGAGGAAGATCCCAAAGCAATTCTTTCCTAAGATGGTATTTGCCAGATTTTGAAGTGAGTAGCTGAAGGCTTGATTCACCTGGGTTCTTTACGTATTCGTCAGAGATCTTTGTGCCAGCCCCAAATGTTGACCAATTGTTTGGGTGCCCTCTATATGCTTGTCCAAGGAACCCTAGGGGAGTATTAGTTAAGCAAATGGCTGCCAATCGAAACGTCAGCTGTTCGAACCCACCAGCTGCTCTGCAGAAAATAGAGGTGGCAGTCGGTTTCCACAAAGATGTACAGCCTTGGACATCATCAGAACAAAAAATCTTACCATAGTGAATGATGGGGGGAGTGTGGAGTGGAGACCCAAAGCCCATGAGTAGGCCACTGGAGATCCCCTTGCAGAGGGGTCTCAGGGAGGAGACGAGCCAGTCAGGGTGCGATGTAGCAACGATGAAACATACAACTTTCCTCTAGTCCCTAAATGTTTCCTCCCCGCTCCCACTATCATGACAGGAATTCTACCTTGCAAGTCTGGCTAGACCAGAGGATGTACACTGGTACAGATAGGAACTGGAAACACAGGGAACCCAGGGCGGATGAGCCCTACAGGACCAGTGGTGTGAGTGGCGATACAGGGAGGGTAGAGGGAGAGTGGGTAGGAAAGAGGGAACCGATTACAAGGAACTATATGTGACCTCCTCCCTGGGGGACAGACAACCAAAAAGTGGGTGAAGGGAGACGTCAGACAGCGCAAGATATGACACAATAACAATTTATAAATTATCAAGGGCTCATGAGGGAGGGGGAGCGGGGAAGGAGGGGGAAAATGAGGACCTAATGCCGGGGGCTTAAGTGGAGAGGAAATGTTTTGAGAATGATGAGGGCAATGAATGTACAAATGCGCTTTCCACAATTGATGTGTGTATGGATTGTGATAAGAGTTGTATGAGCCCCTAATAAAATGATTTAAAAAAAAGATGTACAGCCTTGGAACCTATGGGGGCAGTTCTACCCTGTCCTATAAAGTTGCTCCGAGTTGGAATAGACTCAGTGGTCATGGGATATTCATGTTCGTCCCCCTTCTCCAACTCGATTTCGCCTGAAGATTTTCTGTCTTCCTAGGACAAAATCCCTAAGCACCTTTGATTTCCAGGAAGCGCACATGCCCAGGAAGACAAACACGAAGATAAGGGAAGCCAGCCACATTCTCTTTTGCAACTGTGCCTGGTTTGAGGGCAGGGCCAGCAGCTCACTGAGCCCGCTCCGGTTCCTGCCGTCTCTTAAGCCAGTGACTCAAGCCCTTCTAGATCTCCGGGTCTTTTCAGTTCCTCAAAGCCACCTCTCTGTGTCCAGGCAATGCCTTTGTTGTTGTTGTTTTTAATCTACACCTGCTTTCTATCAGGGCCTCCCTTAAGTGAAGGATAAGGAATGCCTGCGCTGAACCTGTTCTTTGTGGAAAATCTCTGTAAGGTAGTTGGCTAAGACCAACAATAGGCTCCACCTGTTTTTTAAGCTGCTATTTGTTTTCCCCAAGCCCCTCTCCCCCTCAAAATAAACAGACGGATCCTAATTGACTGAGAGACATAGGAGGTACCGCCATCGATGTCACCAACTAGTCTGTGGCCCAGTAACTGGGACGGGGATCCAGAAGAGGGTGTCAGAGTGGAATCAACGGCGCGTGCCAACCACAGCGTCACCGATACCTCGTTTTTCATCACATTCATTTCAAATGAGTGAAGATGATCGTGCTATAAATTGTTCAAATAATACCACAGACGTGGGCATTTCTGAGCCTCCTGGAAGGACTCCGCTGCCAATAGAATAATTCAATCTATATAGAAAATGCGCTCATTTGTTCACTCTGTGGACATTTTCTATTATTCAGAAACCAGCTGAGAATCCAAAAATCTGAGCAGGCAAAATTTCAGTGACTGAGACCAAGTGCTGCATTAAAGTCTTTTGCTTTATACCTAGAAGACTCATGCAGGTCACCGTATATATGTATGTATATAATATATATAATATATGTATATTATATACAAAGAACGTATATAGTTCTTTGTATATAATATATAGTTCTGTGTCCCAGATAATGATTTACGTTTTCTACATGCATTCCTTAAGGAAGTCCTCCCAAACCCTTTGAGGTAGATGCTTATTTTACAGAGGCAGAAGTATAATTTAATATTTGACTGCAAATGGCTTGATTAGCCTTTGTTCCAGCGCCCATAAAGTGGAAACAGTACATTGGGCTGGACAACCAGAAGGCTCCAGAAGTCCTCTGAAAGTTGACCTAAAGTCATATCACAACACCCAAGAGCAAACCACTGATATGTGCATCTACAATTCAGCAATAACTAGACTCTGGAAATACAGCATCCCACAGGTTATGTTGTTCGGGGCCATCAAGATGGTTCTAACTCCGAGCAGCTTGATGTGCAACAGAAGGGACCACTGCCCGGTCCTGCACCACCTTCATCATTGTTATATTTGACCCCACTGTTGCATTGTGGGATGTCAACCCCATCTCCTTAAGGGTCTTCCTCTTTTTACTGCCCCTCCACGTTACCAAGCAAGTTGTCCTTTTTCCAGGGACTGGTCTCTCCTGATACTATCTTCAAAGACTATGAAATGACACCTCACCATCCTTGCTTCCAAGGAGTCTTCTGGCTTTACTTCTTCTTCCAGGACCGATGGGTTTGGTCTTCTGGCCTTCCATGTCTGTAATACTTCCACTATTTCTTACCGGCACCATCATTTAAATCGATCAATTCTTCTCCAGTATTTTTTTCATCAACTTCCAACTTTCACATACACCTGAGGTCTTGCACTGAATACACCACACAACAAGTCCTTAAAATAAATAGGCCAACAGATTTATTTCCTAAGAGCAATAATCAGTGATGTCATGAGAAACAAAATCCTTCATATGGACATCAACCCTAAAACAAAATGTGGAATAAGATGAAATTTCCGGGTGAGGGACTCTTCCAAGAGATACCAGGACCCTGAAGTTACAGTAGGTTAACTGCTTGGCTGCTAGGCAAAAGGCAGGTGGTTGGAACTCACCAGGCATTGCAGGGCAGAAAGATGTGGTGATGGACTTTGGGAAAGGTTTACAGCCTTGGAAGCTCTATGGGGTAGTTCTACGCTGTCCTGGAATGTTGCTAGGATTTGAATCAACTCAATGACACACGACATGTATACAATCTTGTAAAGCATGGTTTCCCAATCTCAGGAGCATTGACACTTTGGACCAGTTAACTCTTTACTGTATGTGTTGACCCCACAGTCGCACTTCTAGAACTAGATCTTAAATATATATATATCAATGTAACCAAATACCTGGCTATTAAATTACTCATAGTAAGGTCATATACTCATATAATAGTAAAAACAGTGGGAGGTGGTTGTTGGGGGGGTGTCTATATGCCTTTCAGAGGGGAATAGAAAGTAAATTGTGACACACTCTTATAATAACACCTTTGAATCCATTTTATATATTATCTGCAAGCAATTTTTACTGACATGAAAATTCTAGTGGCATAATATTGAATGAAAACAAGCATTCAAAAATACACACTATCTCTCAAAAGTCTGTTAAATATGTACAAGGAGACTTCAAAAAGTTCATGGATATGGATTTGAAAGAATATGGAATTTTTAAAAAATAATTTTATTGGGGGTTCATACAATGCTTCTCATAATCCATAATACAGCCATTGTGTCCAGCACATTTGCACATTTGTTGTCATCATCATTCTCAAAACATTTTCTTTCTACTTGAGCCCTTGGTATCAGCTCCTCATTTTTCACCTCTCTCCCCGCTAGCTCCTCCTTCATGAACCCTTGATAATTTATAAATGATTTTTATCTTTTCATGCCTTACACTGTCCAACGTCTCCCTTCACCCACTTTTCTGTTGTCCGTCCCCCAGGGAGGAGGTTATATGTAGATCCTTGTAATCGGTTCCCCCTTTCTACTCTACCTTCCCTCCACCCTCCTGGTATTGCAACTCTCACCACTGGCCCTGAGGGGTTTATCTGTCCTGGATTCCCTGTGTTTCCAGTTCCTATCTGTATCAGTGTACATCCTCCGGTCTAGCTGGATTTGTAATATAGAATTGGGATCATGATAGTGGGAGGGAAGAAGCATTTAGGAACTAGAAGAAAGTTGTATGTTTCATCGTTGCTATGCTGCACCCTGACTGGCTTATCTCCTCCCCACAACCCTTATGTAAGGGGATGTCCAGTTGCCCATAGATGGGCTTTGGGTCCCCAATCAGTTAGAAAAAGTAAGAAGGATAATGGAATCTGTCTACTTTTTGAAGTCTTGGAGTGTGTGTGTGTGTGTGTGTGTGTGTGTGTGTGTGTGTAGGCTGGAAAGAAATATTATGAGTGATTGCTTCTCAAGTATTTGTAACATTTGTCTAGGTTTTTTTCAACAAGCACTTGGTTTTATTATGATCACAGAAACAAGAAAGATAGGTTTTAAAAACTGATACCAGAACTCAAAATCTATATATAATGCATGCTTACATTAGCATTCTGCACAATAAAGAAATGCTACATTGTCTTCCTTCATATGGAGAAGACATGGAACTATCATGTGGAAATTATTTCATCAGAAACATTGAAACAAAGTGATCCTGACGCTGAAACATCTAATGACCCTATACAACAGAGTAGAACTGTCCCAGAGGGTTTCCAAGGCTGTCCATCTTAACAGAAACTATCACAGCTTTGTCCCGCACAGTGACTGGCGGGGTTGAACTGCCAAGATGTTGCTCAGCTGGAAGGCTGCCTTAACGACTGCACCACTAGGACTCCTCTTGGATACCATCCAGAAACCAATCTCACTGTCATCAAGTTGATTCTGACTCCTCTTGACCTTGCAGAACAGGGTAGACTTGGCCTGTGGTGTTCCCAGGCTATACATCTTAACAGGACCAGAGGTCTCATTTCCCCCCCACAGATCAGCTGGTGGTTTCCCAATGGCTGAGCCTCTAATTAGCAGCTCAAACTATCACCTACCACCCACCCCAGCCGCCAAGGCTCCTTTATGGAGATGATGGTGTGGGATAAATGAGCATTCATTGACTTCCTGTTGGCACACTTCTTCCATTGCTGTGCTGGCATTCTGTTTGATTTGTATTTGATTTCCTCCAGAGGAATCAACAGGATTATTGATTTTGTTTGCTTCTCCACAGGTCTCCAGACAGTGGGAATATTCCGCGTTGGCAGCTCAAAAAAGCGAGTGAGACAAGTAAGTGAAAAATGAAGATCCTATTAAGACATTTCACTTGGCTTGTAAATGAAGTGCCATGTGCAGACATTAAGCATATACAAATCTGTTTCTGAAGATGTCTTCTTTGCCTCTCTACTGAAACCAAAAAATTAAAACCAAGCTCCTTGCCAGCAAAGTCAAAGCCAAGTCCCTGGGGGTGGAAGGCAAGATTTTGTAATCATCCTATTGAGCCAGGAAGGAGGAGAGTCAGAGAGTACCTGATCAGCAAGTGATCATAAATAGATAATAACTGTGGAGTACCCATTATTGTCAAAATACGATCTGGAAAATGCCCTTAACATTCTCTTTGTGGAAGATACTGTGTTTAATGATCTGGCAAAATGATTCACTACTCACTTTACCCAGAAAGCCCCACAAAATCATGCACATCAAGACCAAATCTTCGGGTCCCTTTGAAGGACACCCATGAAACTGCCCAGGCCACCAAGAACCTGCTCATCCAGAAAGCCACTGAGTATCTGAAAGACGTTACTTTGCAGAAGCAGTGTGTGCCGCTGCGACATGACAGTGGTGGAGTGAGTAGGTGTACCCAGCCCACACAGTGGGGTTGAGTCCAGGGTCAGTGGCCCCAAAAGAGTGCCACAGTTTGGCTGCACGTGCTTAAAAATGCAGAGTCATGCTGAACAGAAGGGTTTAGCGGTGACTTATCTGGTCATTGAGCACATCCAGGTGAACAAAGCCCCCCAGATGTGCCGCCAGAGCACATGGTGGGATCCAGGGACACAGGCACTCCCCCTGCCACATGGACATGACCCTGACTGAATAGGAACACGTTGTTCCTCAAGCAGAAGAGGCAGCTGCACAGAAGAAAAGGCCCTCCCAGAAGAGACCGAAGAAGCACTGACTTAAGGGCCGGGAGGAAATTAAGGTTAAAAATCAAAGATAACAAAAGTGAAAAAAAATTAGGTTTATAGCTTTACCTTCTCAAAAATAAGTAATTCTGAAGTTGACCGAGAGCTACTGGTCCCCAATTCATTTGTCCTGTAGGGATCTGCCCCCATGGATGGCCTCAGCTTCTGTTACATTCTCTCAACAAAAGTTTGCAATTAGACCTTCAGGAATAGAATCCTATGATGGAGCAGGTAGCCAAATTCATAACAGCTTCAGAACAGCAAACCATCCTTTGAGAAGAGAATGCATTTGTGGGCTGAAAGAGAATTCAAATGCTAATTTCCCTCTGTTGGCACCAACCAAGGGAAATAAAACTCAGTGACTCAATAATGAAGCCAAGGGAAAAATAAATGTTTAGTTTGATAGAGCTGAAGAAATGATATTTGTTCATCTTATTGAAACTACCTGAAATAAATATCACCTTGTATCTTTTTGTGTGTGTGAAGATAAAAAGGGTTTTCACAGGAAGCACAGTTTCCATTTGGTTAGTTTTTATTTAATATTTACACGAGAGACTATTGAGCAAACAGCCAGTATTTCACCACAGAATTTGCAGGAAGAGTGATAGAAGAGTGACATTTGTTGGGTCTCTCCTCTATGCAGAATTCAGGAATATTTTCACAGACATTATCTCCTGGAATCCACCCATGAACCATGAGAGGAGCTGTAGCTTCTTTCATCTATTTTCCTTTTTTTAAAAAAGTCTTCCAAAACGCTCTTTCACTTCCATCGAGTCCATGCCAACTCATAGTGACCCAATAGGACAGGGTAGAACTGCCCCTGTGAGTTCCCAAGGCTGAAACTTTACGGGGGTAGATGGATTAGCACTGCTGGACTTGGGGTTAGCAGCTCAATGCATAACCAGATGCCACCAAGCCCCTTGAAACAAAATAATAACCGTATTTCAAGATCGCATACATGAACCCGTCCATAGGAAAAACTTTGGTGTCTGTTCATTTTGTATGCATGTGTATGTGTGCGCTCAGAACAGAGAAAAAGGTGAGCTTGAGGGCTTGCAAGTCAGAATAGTTCCATTGGCAGTGGTCTTGAGTGGGGGTGCCTAACACACTGAGGGCGAGGTGCCTGGAGCCAGTAAACCCTTCGAGTAGTGATGGGTTCTCGCCTCAGAAGGAGTGATGGCAAATGCCAGCAGTGATTCATTCATTGTATCAGGATCCACTGAATGGACAATCTTTGCCTGGAGCTTGAGGAAGACTCATTCAAGGATGTTGTTGTGGTTGTTATTGCTGTTATTCTGTACTGTCGAGTTGGATTGGACTCATCGTGACTGTATGTCCAATAGAACGAAATACTGCCCGGTCCTGCTCCCTCCTCCCAATTGTTCTTATGTTTGAGCCGACTGTTGTGGCCACTGGGTCAGCCCATCTGGACGTGGGCAGATGATCTAATGACAATAGAATTAGTGGCCACTTTGATTTGAAAGTATGAAAGCTGCTCACATTTGTCATTCTCTCGTGTTCGGTGGCCTCTTGGTGGGCCATGCTTGCTCTTCAGAACACTTGTCACTGTATTGAGAGCTAGTCAATGGTGGGATTACCCTCCGATCCCCTGTCACTCTCCCAGCCCGTGGGCTGGGGAAGGGAGGGGGCTTTGCCTGTGGATTCACCACCATTTCTCAGGCCCGTGACAGGCAACAGAGGAAGCGTACAGTACATCTTTGTCAAAAGGAATGAATCCATGAGTGATTGAATAATGAACTCGTGCGGAAAGCTTATTCCATCGAGGCGGAGTCATGAACTCCCATAATGATTTCTACAGCACAGGGTCATGCGTCAACGCAGTTGAGCTGTCAAGAGTGAACGTAGGATGTGGAAGGTATTACTCCATCTTGTTGTTGTGGGTTTCTGCTACAGTAACGGCTGATAGGCAGAATGTAATGATGAAGTCAAAGAATCCTTCTGACGATTGTTAATAAGGCGACTTTGACAAAGCTAAGGCCGCTTTTCTTTCAGGATTGCCATCTGACCAGCCTCGCCATCTGACCAGCCTCAGTCATGAATGGCTTATCAGGCTGATGAATTTGATTAGCTGCAGCAAAACCCCCTCGCTTCCTTGCCGAGTGCCTCTGTAAATTTTCAAAATGCCAACCTGACAGGCTTGCTGACGCCCAGACAGGCTGTGTGATGGACGGAGTTCCCGTTGGCCTTGAGAGTTGACCTACGTTCCATTCCACCCCAGAGCTCTAGGCACCCCATCCCACCCCCAACCTTCTGGTTGTCATTAGTGGGCCCTTCTGCTTGCGTCATCCACAGCAAGCCCGCAGAGCGTTTTACTTAATATCACATGTAAGGTATGTACACTCTAGTCATGGCTGGCTTCCTGCTGCAGACTCGCCAGACCAAGGTGGCAGCGTGCTTGCTTTTCAGATAGAATACCAGGTGCTGGGAGCCCAAGCGCGCCTTTGGCTGGGAAGTGAACACCGAAGGATGGGGTTGGGGGACTGCCATTTGAACCGTTTGTCTCCCCTCAGTTACGGGAGGAATTCGACCGTGGCATTGACGTTTCTCTGGAGGAGGAGCACAGCGTCCACGACGTGGCTGCCTTGTTGAAGGAGTTCCTGAGGGACATGCCGGACCCTCTGCTCACCCGGGAGCTGTACACGCCCTTCCTCCACACGCTGCGTACGTGAGGCCGTCCTGGGCGGGAAAGTGCCCCTGAGACGCCAGGGTGTCCAGCTCCCTCAGCCAACCTTGTGCCTCTTTGCCCTGACATCTATTTTTTGTCTTCATTGATGGATCTCTAATGAGCGGGCTATTTGGGGACTTTTCTGAGCTTCACCCTAGGGAGAATTAGCAAGAAGAAAGTTGCTATCAAACAAATGCACATAGCCAAGAAGGAGTTGGGCGGTTTGCAAATGACCCCAAAGACTGTAGAAAGTGCCACATCAATTGATGCTTTGGAGTACAAGCAAAAGTTCACATTAAGCCTGTCCCTGAAAATAAGTTTGCTTTTTGTGGTATGGAAAAGGAGGGAGAGAGAAGAATCCAGAGAGAAGGGGCCAACGGGCGATCCCAGGGCAAGCTCAGGCCAGGGCTTTGGGTCTGTGGATACAGAGCCCATGGAGGAGAAATGGAGGGTGATGGGCAGAGGCATAGACTTGGTCAGCCTCCCACGGTAGGGCTCGTGTAGGACCACGATAGAGAAGACAAGAGCCATCATGCTGTATATGGGGAGAGACAGAACGTCTAGCCTTTGGATGTTCTTCAAAAGAAGACCGCCCCAAACCCATTAGAACCTTTATTGAGTCTCAGTCATTGGCATCGACAATGAAAGCTTGATATCTATAAAGTAGGGGATGCATTACATCGTCAGGGAAAGGTGAGAGACACAAGTCAGGGAAACGAAGTTCCCTGGATTGCCAAAGCTAAGAGTCTCAGCCATGCTTGCAATCAGGAAAATGTAGTCATGGGAGCAGGAATATTGCTGTGCTTGTCACTCATTTGAAGTTCGAATGGGCTGACGCCTCTGTTCTTCTAGTGCCTTGGTCGCTAGCATTCCAGTTTCTCTCATGAAGATTTTGGATGGAGATCCTTTTTCTGCCCAGGGCCATTTGGATAGGATCACATCATTCTTGATCACACAAAAGCATCACCCTAAAACTTACCCGGTGATCTTTGGTCAAACATTCAACGAAAGCACCTCTAATGTGATAGCTGGGACGGTTTCTCTGGTGTGGCGTGTGACATGAGCTGGGATCGATGATTTTGTGGACGTGAAGTATATGTGTCTGGCCTGCTGGCTGGACGTGCCCCATCCCTGCTTTAGAGGGGCTGCCATGATTTCTCTAGTTGTTCCACGTCCCCAGCTCGAATCCCTCGTTATATTCTTCAGAGAGCTGGGTCCGTAGAGCGTGGGTGGGGATGGGGGAGCGGAGTTGATGAAGAGATCCATGACTTGCGTTGTCCCTTTCCATTAAGAATGTGCCCCACTGCCTGGTATGTGCACCCCCCAACTCAGAGGGCCTCTTGTCGCCTTGTTTTAGTGTTGGAGCCAGAGGAACAGCTGGGCGCCCTACAGCTCCTCATCTACCTTCTACCTCCCTGCAACTGCGACACCCTCCACCGCCTCCTGCAGTTCCTCGCCATCGTGGCCAGCCGTGCTGACGACATCAGCAAAGATGGGCAAGAGGTATGCCCCCCTCCCCCAATTGGTGGCCAGCGAGGCTGCGACTCTTGCTTTTGATTTCAGAGGAAGAACCACCAACATGGTCATACTTTCCACCTGGAGAAAATGACACTCCCTCTCTTGACTTTTCTGATTCGGTGGGAAGTGAATCAAAGCCAGGCTTTCTCTCGAGAGACAGCTTCTAGGAGCACAGGGCCCACTCACCTCCTTGTAGGTTCTTAAGGAAGCTTCTCGTGGAGGCTATCTTTTTTTATGATGATGCTATGGGATACCACCTCATTATTCTCCTGGGTTTTCCGTGGGACTCCCATCTTTCCTAGTAACTAGAGTTCTAGTATCTCTATTTCAAGGGATCCTTTCTCTCTTTAAACACTTTCTGCAAAGTAGGGACTGGTTCTATGCGATGGCTGGGCAAGCTTTCAAAACGAGATGCAAAGGGAGTGCACTGCCATTGGGTCGATGTCGACTTGTAGCGACCTTCTAGGACAGGGTAGAACTGCCCTATGGGTTTCTGAGAATGTGACTCTTCATGGGAGTAGAAAGTCCCATCTTTCTCCCAAGAGTAGCAGCTGGTGGTTTTGAGCTGCTGACCCTGCAGTTAGCAGCCCAGCTCCTACCCACTACCCCACCGGGGCTCCTAGGAGAAGGAACTAGGAGGTATGCTTTACTCATCAGTGTCATGATATCTTGGGGCAACACGATGTCAGCTGTTGGAGGTGGTTCTGCACAGAGTCCCATAGACTTTTCTTTTTATCCTGGTGTGATCCACACCAGAGGTTTGGTGTTCTAGCTCTCTTTGACCGCACTCAGAGAATTTGAGGTGGTTTGGAGTTTCACCTTTGGACAAGGAAGATACTGTCTTAATTTTTAAGTAACCTCCGACCAAGCTACCTGTTTCATCTTTGCCTTAATAGGAAACTAGCGGCCCTCTTTCATACCATTCAGTCTTACTTCTCCTTGACCTTGGAGCCCCCAGAAGATATCCAAGTCTCTAATCTGCTAGCATGCATTATAAATCAACAAGGGGCTTCCCAGATTTGCTTAACCATGGAAACTTTTGTTTAAAATCCTTGCTAAGGACAACACCAAGCTGTATTGTGAATTTAATTCCATAAAATGGTCCAATGCCTTTCCTAGAGAACATAGTCCTATATAATTTTTTCCCACTTTAAAACAGACAGATCATTTTGTATTTCTTATCCTTGTTGTCTTCCGTGTCGGGGAGTGAACGGAACTTTCATGAAGCTGTTATTTTTCTTGCTAGTAGTTGTAATTCCTGGGAGCCTGACAGGCAACAGATTTAATACTATGGTCCTGACACATTTTTTCAGCAAAAAAAGCTCTTTGATGGGTAGAGTATAATTCTCGTTAATTGCTAAGTAGTTAGCTCACCTGTCTGGATGTTAGCCATTTTTGGCAGGAGTATGATCTGGGTAATCACCAGGTAACGTCAGAGAGAACCCCGTGTGCCCAGGAAGGTCAGTTGCTTCACTGGGATTTCTTCAGTGCTATGTGTGAAGAAGAAAGTCAGGTCTCAGCTGCTGAGAAGCCAACAAGGATATGAAAAGTCTGATTGAGCTCACACATACCCTTTTCTTTATTTTTAACAGTTTTACTATCACTTCATCCACATGTCATCCAATTCAATAATTCAATACTATCAAGAAGAGTTGCACAATTAGCACCACAGTCCATTCTAGAACGTTTTCATCTTGCATGTACTCATTGTTAGTCAAGATTTTGTTTTTCTAATTCTGGCAAAAATATACCAAAAATAAAAATAAAACGATCTCTGATTCTACAACCTCCACCTGTATATTTCAACGGCATCAATTATACTCTTGACATTGTACAGCTGTTACTGATATCCTTTTCCAAAGTGTTTTCCCTACCAACCTAAGTTCAGTGCCCCACCCCCTCAAGGAGGAACTCTTTGTCCTTCACCCATGGTCACCCTTGGTCAAGTTTGGTTTCTTTTCTTTTTTTATTAGTAGCTTTCTTGGTGTCATATTCACATATTATACATGTTTGGTTAAATCGCTTTTGAAAAGAGTTTGAATCTAGATCATCCCAATCGGTTCTAGTGTTCCTTTCACCCCACAATTGCCCTTTGGGAATCGTCTTCAAATACTCTGTCCAACTGTTGAGCAAATCTGCATTGCCTGAGCAAAAAGGAAGAATGACTTCTTAGATGAGTATAAGTGAGAGGTAGCATCACCTACCACATGCCAGTGTGGTGCTAGTGGCTTTACCTCTACACCCACTCCTCACTTAGCAACTTGGTTAGATACTAAAGACCTAGTCATTTGAAAATCGGTGTGACGAGAGAATAGAAGATGACTACATCACCTCCCTCCCTCATCTGTACTCTGGACATCCATTGGCTAAGATCACCTGCTCCTGCCACCTCCCCCCACCAACCCCAGCCCGACTACTCATCAAGAACATACGTGTAGACTAGCAAGCAGACCTGTACCAGAGGCCTAACTCTGGGTTTCTCAACCTCCGCGTGACTGACCATTGGACGTGGTGGGGGAGATTGTAGGGCGTTTAGCGGCACCCTGGGCCTCTCCCCACTCCCTGACTCTCACCCCCATGTAGCGATGGATGGGGAGGGTCGGTGTTTCCTCCTCCCTAAAGTGTAATAGCAACCAAATGTGTTGCCATAGAGTCCATTGCGACGAGTGTGGCTGAGTAGAACTCCCTCATAGTGTTTGCTTAGCTGTGCTCTTCATCACCAGACCTTTCTTCCGTGGTGCCACTTGGTGACTTGGCATGACCAACCTTGAGGTTAGGAGTCGAATGCCAATCATTTGTCATACCCAAGGACCTAAATGACCATCACCATCACCTTTCTGATGGGCATGGATGAGTTTGAAAGATCATCGTCTTATTTACTAGTGGGATCTTACAGCTGTCTACAGAGAGGGCATGAGAAAAATGGTCGACTCGTCCAGCAGTGCTGTTTTTAGAACGGGGAAAAAAAGAAAAGAGTGATCTTTTATCAAGTGGTGGTGTTTTGCTATCTTTTGTTTGTTTTATTTTACTCTGTTTTGTTTGGTTTGCTATTTGCTGTGCTCCTTGGCGGGGAGGAGAAATTCCCAAATGTAAGAAAGATTTTATTTCTTCTAGAAAGAATATTATAGGCACAAAATGGAAACAGCCTTGGGGATGTCCAAGTCCCACCGCAGGAAGTCCAAGATCACCACCACCACCACACCACCCCCCCCCCCACACACACACACACTCCTCCTTGGCATTTCATGGAAAATACAGTGTGAAAATGTTCTGTTCTGGTGAGAGAATCCAGGGCTTTGGATCAGTTCTTAAAGGGCCTCTGAGAACAAGAACTTAGGAAGCATCGAGGGAGAGTGTGGTGACTGGTCTTTGGGGAGGAACATGCTATGAGGAACTGAGAGGCTACCTTTGTAACATCCCACAATGGCAAGAGGTGTTCAGCCCTCTCCTTAGGTGTAGAGTGTAAGAGGCCTCCAAACCACTTAGTTGTCAGAGATTTGTTCTGCATTCATTTTGAGATTATCTGGATGACCAAGGGTTTTGTTTTGTTTTTGTTTTACCCCTTATATTTTGTGCTCATGCTGCAGGTCTGGTTCCTGCCATGCTTTGAAATAAGTATCCCGACAATCCATACTGCTACAGGGTCTCCCAGCTCTGCCACCACCTAGCTCTCCACACTAGGTGCCACTCCACTAAAACATAAGACTAAAAGCAGCAGCTGCTTCAGAAGCACATAGGGAGAACATATGCAAATGGCCTGTGGACAGCCCTGAGTCCAGTGGCCATACGTGCGCTACTTGTACTAAGTGGGAATGCTTCCCACTCAGCTCAGAAATCATCTAGGAGGCTTAGTCAGTAAAGAGCAAACCTGTCCTTAAATCTGCTAGCGAGTTAAATGATAATTTACTTCATCATCCAGTGTCCGCTGCACTGCCTGAATAGCTTTCTCAGATATTTATTTCTATATTACATGTATTGTATATAGTTGAGCTTTCTTTTATTACACATTTATATTATCTGTCTTTATGGTTAGGAGGCCTGGTGGCTTCGTGGGTCACAGCTTAGGCTGCTAACTGCAAAGTCTGCAGTTGGAAAGATGAAGCTTATAGCGAAAGCTGAAGCTGAAGCTGTCTGCTCCTGTAAAGACTGACAGCCTTGCATACCCACAGGGGTGCTTCTCTTCTCACCTGCAGACAGAATTGACTCAATGGCATGGGGATCTTTATGGATATATATGTATGTATGTATGTATGTATGTATGTATGTATGTATTTTTTATATTTTATACATTAGGTATGCAGGATCCTTGGGGAGGGGGGGACATTGTTGTCCACTTGACTAACTCATGGTCACTTATGTATGTCAGAGTTGGTAATATTTTCAATGGTTGTAATCTTAGGGAAGTAGATCACCAGGCCTTTCTTCAACAGTGCCACGAAGTGGATTCAAACCATCAACCTTTCAGTTAGCAGCGAAGCACCACCCAGAGACCTATACACATCTATACACATACTGCCATTGAATCAATTCCAACTCATAGCGGATCTATATAGGGTTTCCAAGGCTGTCATTTTTTATGGAAGCAGACCTCCTCAGCTTTCACCCGAGGCTGGTGAGTTTGAAATGCAAACCTTTCAGTTAGTAGTCCAAAGCTTACCTAACAGAACCACCAGGGCTCTTTCATGCATAGATGATAGATAGATGACAGACAGATAGACATATACCCACATACTCACAGATAAGCCAAGCTTGCTGCCACCCCGTTCATTCGGACTCGTAGCAACCCTATAAAGCAGAAGAGCACTTCCCGTGTGGGTTTCTGAGGCTGGAAATCTTTACAGGTGCAGAAAGCCTCATCTTCCTCCTGTGGAGTGGCTGGTTGGTTCAAACTGCTGCCCTGCAGCCCAACTCATTATCCACTACGCTCCTCTACTCACATGTGAACATACATAGATGTGTCTACACATATGTACAAAAGGGCTTCCAAAAGTCCACGGGAAATATTTCTATGAGTTTTCTGAAGCCCCCTCATATGAATGTACATAAACAAAACAAACCCACTGCTGTGGAATTGCTTCCAACTCCTAGCGACTCGATAGGACAGAATAGAACTGCTCCTCTTTATGGGAACAGACAGCCTCATCTTTCTCCCTCAGAAGGGCAGGTGGATTTGAACCATTGAGGTTATGGTTAGCAACCCAACACCTAACCCACAGAGTCATAAATGAGTACACATATATACGTGTAGACACGGAGTTGATTCTGGCTCATAGCGACCCTCTAGGACAGAGGAGAGCTGCCCCAGAGGGTTTCCCAGGCTGAAGTCTTTACAGAGGGAGACAGCCGCATCTTTCTCCGGAGGATCAGCTGGGAGGTTTGGACCTCCGCTTTTCAACACAAGTTGAGCAGTTAGAATCCTTACACCACCAGGACTTTTTATATGGTGTGTGTGTGTAACCAGACTCAATGGAGTCAATTCTGACTCACAACAACCCTATAGGGCAGGTTCGAAGTGCCCCGATGGCTTTCTGAGAGTGTAACTCTTCACAGGAGTAGAAAACCTCATTGTTCTCCTGAGGAGCAGCAGGTGGTTTCGAACTGCTTGATCTTGTGATTAGCAGCCCAACTTGTAACTCACTGTGCCACAAGAGGGGTGTGTGTGTGTGTGTGTGTATACACGTGCATGTATTTAAACATGGAGAGCAAGAATCAAAATTGTCTGGAAGCGGGTCTACTTTTCAGTTTTACAAACAAAACAAAGCAATTCCCAAAAGGCACAAAGAAAGCTGTGGCCGGCTAGCTGCTGGGCACAATGGGATGTTACCAGCACCTTGTACCGCTTGCTCAGAATAGCACCAGGCGCAGAACTGAGAGATTGTGGAGCTGCACATTGTCCTTATACTCAACAGTGTTGTCGAAGGAAACAGCCTTCTCTTGGTCCGTGTTAAAACAGGAGAGAGAGGAAACCCTTACAGTGCTTTGGGGTAGAGAGCGTTCCCCATGCCTTCTACTTCCAAAGGGCAGAAGTTGTAAATTGCTCAGACATGGTTTGATTTTTCATCACGAATTTCTAGCAAGAGAAATGAGAAAGAAAAAAAAATAAAAGAAAAAAAATTAAAAAAAAAAAAGAAATGAGAAAGAAAAATGAAAAAATGGCTGTGGTTTATCAAGGCAATAAAGAACACATAAGCCATCATCCATATAGAGTACTTGAGTTAAAATCCCCAGTGTTTAGTACTGGAAACAATTTCACTTGGCTGCAAATTGCCTCCTAAAACACCCAGGCCCTGTAGTCCACCCTGTGGGATTGCAAAGCAGGGGACCAGAAGTTCTGGGTAGCACAGGATGTGGTCCCCTTGGAGGCTTGTTCTCAGCCATCACTTGGAACTAGTGACTTCTATGCTGTGTACCTACATGCTTTTCAATCCAGGTGAACTCTCCCCACCCAGAAACCTTCCCCAGGCATGCCTAGGATGTGAATGAGCCCTGACCAAAGAAATCAACGCTAGGGGTCCTCTCAGGAGAATGTTGGGGCCATCTACTCCTTGCGGGGGACGGCCGTGGAAGTCCTATAGGGCAGTAGTTCTCCTCTGTCTTCTAGGGTTGCAATGAGTCAGCCTCAATTCAACGACAGTTTAAAAAAAAACACTCCCTGCCATTGACTCCATCTTGGCGCACAGTGACCCTATAGGACAGGGTAGAACTAACTGCCCCTGTGGCTTTCTGAGACCGTAAACCTTTTCAGGAGTCGAAAGTTTTGTCTTTCTCCTGCAGGGCAGCTGGTCGTTTCGAATTGCTGACCTTTGGGTTAGCAGCCCAACGCATAACCATTACACCACTCCTTCAATGCCAATGGAATTGGTTTTGGTTTGGTTTGATTTGGTTGTTTGCTTGTGGGGAAGGGGACAGTATTTAGTGTTTCTCAACCACAGGCCAATATGCTCCCCAGACAGTACTTGACAATGTCTGGGGACATTCTTGCTTGTCCAAGCTGCAGGTACAGGGAAAGACTTCTAGCCTCTAGTAGGTAGACGAGAAGCATGGTGCCAGATAGGACAGCCCGGGGCCCCAGGGAACCCTGGCCAAGAGGAACTTGGCAGGATAATCTCTGCCATCTTAAAGTGGCATAGAGGGACGGGTTTGTATAGCTTCAGAGAAATCCCAACACAAACTCACTGCCATCGAGTCAATTCTGACTCGTAGTGGCCCTGGAGAGAAAGAGAGTAGGTAAGCAGAATCTTGAAGTCCTTTCTAACGTTCAGGTGCCTTGCTTGTGGCTGTGCCACGTGGAGGGGTTACTCCTACGACAGCGCCCAATCCTATTCACAAAGTGTCTCTTTGAGGGAGATGGTTTGACACTGTTGTCTATAATCACTGAAAGCCGAAAGCAATGTAAATGGCTATCCTTTCTTTCACTGTGGTTAAAACAAATCGGGTTGACATCTATGCAGTGGGGAGGCTAGGGACGAATCAGGGTGATGATTTCGGATGGAAGTGGGAAAATGCATGCAGCATGCAGCATCTTGTTAAATGATACGGTACAGAATCACTGGTGACTCTGAGACTCTGCTTGATAAAGGAAAAGAATTATAACAAATGTGCTTGACACAATGGATGAATGGATGGATTGTGATAAGAGTTGTACTAGCCCCAAATAAAATGATCAAATTAAAAAAAGAATAATTATTGATAGATATGTATAGAAGAGGGTATGAATGGCTGAGTCATGGGATAGTGGGCAATTTATTTGCTTTATACTTACCTCTACTTGCTACTTATTCATATATTGACCATGGGTAGAATTTTTTTTAATATATTGTAGGTTAAAAAAAAAAAGAATTTCCTTCTTGCTCTCTGTGCTACCCTTTAGTTTTAGCCATCTCTCTTCTTCCTTCTCTGCCAAACTATTCAGTGCAAGGGCGCTCTCTTCGTTGTCTCCCCATTAGGGATGGAGGCTCCTTTCTACACGGCCCCTGAACATGGTTCGAACCATTGGGAAGGCCCGCCTTCATGGATGCTGACGGAAAGAGCGGGGTCCTTTCTGGAGAAACCGCACAGCGAGGGGCAACGCTCCATCGGTGATTGAGCCATCCTGTGTCCTCTCTTCCCGTAGGTCACTGGGAACAAAATGACATCTCTGAACCTGGCCACCATATTCGGACCCAACCTGCTGCACAAGCAGAAGTCATCGGACAAGGAGTTCTCTGTGCAGAGCTCAGCTCGCGCCGAGGAGAGCACCACCATCATCGCGGTGGTGCAGAAGATGATCGAGAATTACGAAGCCCTCTTCATGGTAGGGGGCTTTTCTTGAGGCTGGCAATGTGGTGAATTGCTCAATAGACCGCAAGGGTATCCCTTCCGGGTCGGCAAGGATCACTCTTTGGAATCATTTAATTCAGCGGTTCTCAACCTGTGGGTAGCAACCCCTTGGGGGATCGAATGACCCTTTCACAGGGATTGCCTAAGACCATCGCAAAACACATGTTTCCAATGGTCTTAGGAACTGAGACTCTGCTCCTCTATCCGTCTCCAGGCGGGGTCGCCCACATGCGGATACGCCCACCTACGAAAGTACCCAGTGTGAAGACTGTTACCCATGGTACACCATGCTTCAAGACAAAATTTCATTGATTTGTCATTAGAAATATCTATTTCACAATATATAATTACATTTTGTTTCTGTGATTCATCACTATGCTTTAATTATGTTCAGTGAAATACATCTGTAACAGTGAAAATACATCCTGCATTTCAGATATTTACATGATGATTCATAACAGTAGCAAAATGATGGTGATGAAGTAGCAACGAAAATAATGTTATGGTTGGAGGTCACCACCACAGGAGGAACTGTATGAAAGGGTCGTGGCATGAGGAAGGTTGAGAACCACTGATTTAATTAGTCATAACAGGGCCCTAGCTCAAAACAGGCTGGACACGCTGTCCTTTGGAATTCAGCTCAGGCAGGCTGGGAGTCTGACAGCCGGCCTCTGTGATGCTCCAAGAGCCTCTTGTCGTCTTGCCTCTCGAATAGAGAGAACTTCACCCGGTCTTCACCTGCCCTTCCTCTGTCCTTCCCTTGCCACTTCCTGTTTCCCTTTTCAGTGGTTCCTTGCACCTGATAGTTCCTGCGTGGTGCTACTCTTGCTCGACACTGTCGCAGTCTTTGGCAACAAATTCTCCTGGGTGATTCTAAGCTCCTTTTAAGCCAGGCCTGTGGCCTTTGTCTCGCCTCTCTGTATCCTCTGGACGCTTTGGAAGGTCCTCCATCTGGCAGTTGTTCGGTAAAGATTTTTTTTTTTTATTTGTCTTGAATTCCCAGTTCCTGTTTTCCCTCATGAAACGGGGTGGCTTCCTTCAGCTTCCCTTGAAACGGAACACCAGCCAATGCTCTGCCACGTGTCAGAAGGTGCAGAGACTCGCCCCAACTTCCTTGTGTGTCTCTTGTCCCCTAGCAAGGCCCCACCATAAAGTCTGTCTTCTTCTACCCTCTTCCATGCTCTTGTTCTAGATCGACATGTCCAATCCCCCAATGAGCTGCTTTCCTTTATGAAGGACCTCACATGGATTTATGTACATGCCAGTCTTCTCCCGCTTTGAGTTTATACATGGGAGAGACAGTGCTTCCAGCCCTTGCCCTCTGTGTCTGACCTGGGTGACCATGAACAAGTAGTTCAACATTCAGTAGTTTCAGTTTTAGCTTCGGTGCCATGGGAAGAATAAACACGTGGCCTAAGCCATAGGCTGGTTACCACAGTCTATTGATAAGGGGGAGCATTCTTCAAACTTACTGTCTGTGTTTACAAATAAGTAAACTGGTAGGCAACATAAGGTGTCTCAAATCTCAGTGCTTCAAAACAAGACACACAAATATCTCCTGAGCAGAAAATGTAATCTGATGTTGGGTGGACAGGTCTCCCAGTGGCAATAGAGGGACACTGGCACCCTGTTCCTTGAGACTTTGCTATCCCCTAGCATTTTATGGGCCCAACCTAGAAGGGGCATCCATCACATAGGCTCAAACCCCACTAGCCAGAGCACCCTGAGAAGCCACACCTGTCTGCAAGGGAGGCTGTGTGTTCTGGCCGAGTGTCCAGGAGGCAGAGAGAGTAGATTTACCACAGGGACAACTTCACTGAGGGGCAGTGACCGTGTCTCACTCGTCTTGGTGCCTCCACTGCACCCTCTCTGCGCAACACCCGAAAAGCTCTCCAAAAGGGTGTGCGGAGCCATTGCTACTGTGTCCGTGTCACATATCAGCCCCAAGCCTCATCATGAAGCACATAGTTAGATGAATCAAACATATGAACTTTTCAACAGTTTCTTCCGATTTTTTTCTTTTTAATCATTTTACTGGGCCTCATACAATTCATCACAATACATAGATCAGTTGTGTAAAGCACACCTATGCATTTGTTGCCCTCATCATTCCCAAAGTTCACTTTCCTCTTGGCGTTTCCTCCGATTTTAAGTCCCATCTCATCTCGCCAGGCATTCTGTCCTGCTCGCTGGCTTTTAGTTCAAACAAAGTACAATAAGGGACCTTCCTTCTTTCCTAATTCAATCCTCAAGATTCTGTGTTCCTTCCACAAACCACCGGGCATTTTTTTTCCTCCCAATCCTGACAAAACATGTCCTGGTATCCTGGAAAGGCCAGCTGCTGCCATTCAGGCCATGGTATTCCCCTTCCCCAGCCCCTCCCTGGGCTTACTCACAATAGTGGGTGTTGCTGTTAGCTCCCCACCAGTCAGTCCCGACTCCACAGGACCCCGCGCACTAGGAAGCCACACATGGCCCAGTTCTGCACCACCCTCATAAGTGGTTGGGGTCCCAACAGGATGGCCAGTTCAGAGGTGCCATCTTATTTCCAGTGACCCATGTGAAAAGAGACAAGGCAAGGCAGCTGTTCTGTGTTGCTTTATGAACTGCAGACTACATCATCAGGAGGCGAGGAGGACAGCGGCTTGTTGTGACCCTTGGGGTTTTCAGAAATGGCTCCCCCTGCCTTTCTCCCTAGTTTGTCTAAGTCTGGAAGCTCTGCTGAAACCTGCCCCCATGGGTGACCCTGCTGGTCTTTGAAGTAAGTGGCCTTAGCATCCAGCATCCCAACAACATGCAGGTCACTATAGCACTCTTGCAGACTGACAGGTGGTAGAGGTG